TCAAGTTCTGGGTCCTCTCTGTCTTGCTTGGTCTAAATGATCAGCATTGACAGGATGGAAACCTGAAAACAGTATATTTATAGTATCAAGAAGGAAGGATTTATGAAGATAGTAAAAGCCACTGAGATCTTTTTCTTGAATAGGGGCTTATATGATATGTGAATTATATCTCATGAAAAATTGTTTTAAAAAATGTCAGAAACTCTTATTTAATAGTATCTATGGATATTAGACTGGCTCGTGGAAGCCCTGTCAAGATCCAGATTCAAGCCTTGTAAGTTTAGGGTCCATTACTGTTCATATTTGTGAAGTTTGGTAGCCCTGAGAACAGTGGTAACTGAAGCATTGGTATTCGTACTAGAGGGTTAAAAAAGGAAGTCTCCTTTGTGCTCTGTGCTTCCTGGTTTATTGACTTTTAAGAACTTCTGATCAGCCCATTGTTTGTGGTTTTGGAGGCTGCCCCCAGGGACTCTGACCCACCACTTTGATGGGAGCTCTAAGGAGCCCACAGGAAACTAACTAGCTGCATCCTGCTGGGACAGGTTTAGTAGGAAAATCCCTAGGAGTGACATGATAGGGAAGTGAAGGAGTTGTCCTTTGTTTCGCCATGTACGTGCACAGAGTATTGATTTACCCAAAGGAAAAAGTTCCCAAATGTCCTTAGGATTGTTCAAATATAAAGATATAACTGGATCCCAGTGTGAATGTTTCACTTACTCATGAAAAAGCAAGCCTGTAGGGCACTTGCATGGCTCAGTTAAGTGTGTTAGTCTTGATTTTGGCTCAGATCATGATCTCAGTTTGTGAGATTGAGCCCATGTTGGGGTGCAGAGACAGCTTGGGACCTTCTCTCTCTCTCTGCCCCTCCCCAACTTGCATGGTCTGTTTACATTGTGCTCTTTAGAAGAAATTGTGAAGTAACATGACTTAAATAGGAAATTTTAATTTTTTCTTTTTTTTTTAATCCTGTGAATTATTATAATTTCATTGGATTACTATTTTGGTATTTATCATGAACTATAGGTTTTTACTAATAATTTGTTTTCACAGCAAATTTAATTTTGTTTTTTCCCCTCTTAGAGCCTCAAGAATATCAAGGTAAGAATTTAAGCTTTAGTTTTCTTTGCAATATTTTCTCAGTACTGAAGTTTGATGTGGGTTTTTTTTTAATGTTTATTTTGAGTGAGAGGGAGTGCAAGTGGGGGAGGGACAGAGAGAGGGAGACAGAGTCCAACGTAGGCTACAGGCTCCCAGATGTCACGACAGAGCCCAGTGGGAAGGTAGAACCCATGAACCATGAGGTCATGACCTGAGCCAAAGTCAGACACTCAACCAACTCAGCCACCCAGGCACCCCTTGATGTGCATATTAATTCAACTAAGGATAAATATGGTGACTTCTGATGTCTGATTGATGTGTTAACTCTTCAAAATTTTTCTCTACCCTGTTTGGAGCCTAAGTGACAATGTGGAGGGAATTGTCATCTCTGAGGACAAGAGATGAGGAGGAGGACCACATCACTAGAGTAGAGGGAATGAAATGAGTGTAATTTTACATAGAAATGGTTAGGAAACAAGTCATGATATGAGCCTGAGGTTTGGAGTGAGTACTTTGCCATGACCTGGCTCTTGGTGAAATGTGAGGATGAGAAGACACTCTTTGAGTCTATCAAGAAGCCTAAGCTTACAGAATAAGCCAGCTCTTGCCAGGCAGGGTGTGTGTCACAAGAAAGGTTGAAACCATGGTTTTGACTCTTAAGTGGAGGGAGCCGTTCATGCCAGAGAATGAGTGGAAATGAATTTGTTGCAAATGGGGGTAATGTGTTCTGCACAGGCCCCACAGACTGTGGTGATTCTGTGGTGCTGTCTGCTGAGAGCCAGGTGGTTGCCTGACACATAGGAAGCCCTCAAAGGCTGGTGTTCATCACTATGAGTGCAGCAGTGGTGGCGGTGAGAAGAGTGAACTCAGGGCATGAGAGCTCTCACACTGAGCCAACAGAAGAGAAGTTTGCACTTTGTGGTCAGATGAGAGAATAAATGCCTGTTAGAGGAGTCTGTTGTAGAGCTTACATGTGTTATCCACCTGCAGTTGGGTGCTTCATGTGTGTTGACTAATATTCCTGTAAAGTTGGAGACTAACATTCTCATGTTGGGATGAAAAAAAGTTTGTCTTCTAAGGATTGCCATTAATCCAGATCCTTCAGCAACTACATGTAAAGCTGAGATTGTACCCAAGTGTGTTTGAGTCCAAAGACCTTGTCCTCCAGGGCCCCCAGGCTAGGGTTCATGCAAGGCAGTCTGTGAGCAGCAGGAAGTCAACCAAGGCCTTTGGGTAGTCAGTCAGCAGTTTGAGCTTTCCTTATGTGGAATTCCAAATAGCAAGCACCTGGGGATGTAAGTGGCTCAAACCAAGACTAAATGATGGTTTTGTTTCTTTTGTTTGTTTATTTGCAGGGACCTACTTATGTACCTTAATAATTGGAGGAGAGAAATGTAAATTAATAGGATTTGATTTTTCTGTTCCATCTCTGGTGGTGACGTAAATATTTGAAGTGACTGAATTTTCCGAGAAGTATGCTTCCAGGTGGGAGAGAAATTTGAAGATATTTTATTGCATTTATCCATTTTGGACAATATTTTAAATAGGAATCTCATTGAAATAAGGTTTTCTTAGTCGTGCTAAAACTTGATTTCCTCGAGCACAATGGGAAAGCTAAAATGTTAGTTACACCCACTTGTCAGATCATGGGTCTGTGTTGCTGATACACTGGGATTATTTGATGTCACTTGCTTGGTAACAAGCTTAGAAAATGTTTTATGTCCTTTTGGTTAGTTTACAGCAAATAACTGAGACGTTCAATGCTTTAAAACACTTTTTTAAATGTTAATTTATTTTTGAGAGAGAAAGAGACAGAGGGTGAACAGGGGAGGAGCAGAGAGAGAGAGAGGGAGACACAAAATCTGAATCAGGCTCCAGGCTCTGAGCTGTCAGCACATAGCCCAACATGGGGCTTGAATTCACAAACTGCGAGATCATGACCTGAGCTGAAGTCAGACGCTTAACCAACTGAGCTACTCAGGCATCCTTATGCTTTTAAGAAAGAAAACAGAGAACTGAACTTGCTGAAGAAATATCCATTTGGGAACGGAAGGTACCATTGCCCTTTCAAATATTTTTTGTGATTTCATTTTGGTTATTACCACTCTGATAGATCATCCTACTGACCTATTTCATGTGTTCTATAAACAGCACCAATTCAAGTCACACTTCACAAATATAAAGAGCTACCTCTTTGTGAAAGGAGTCACACATTAGAAGATAGATTTATCTAGCACTATTAAATTTTTAATTCTGATTCCATTTTTATGTCTTATAGAACAATGAATTAAAGAAACATCTTCAGGAAACTAAGAGAGAAAGTAAATTTTTCTCTGATTAAGCTCTTAAAGGTAAGAATCCCTTCTTTGGGATTGCGTTCTAAAGACACAAGTAAATGTAATGAATTATTATTACTCATTCAACATGTTTTGAGTAAGAAGAACATCAAAATAGTTGAGCACTTTAATGAAATTAAGAAGTTTTTTAGTGTTTATTTATTGAGAGACAGAGACAGAGCACAAGCAGGGGAGGGGGCAGAGAGAGAGGAAGACACAGAATCCAAAACAGGCTCCAGGCTCTGAACTGTCAGCACAGAGCCTGACACGGGGCTTGAACTCCAAACCACGAGATTACAACCTGAGCTGAAGTCAGATGCTTAACTGAATGAAGTACCCAGGTGCACAATTTAATGAAATTTTAAATGACACCCTTCAAAATGCACGTGCTACCTTGGAATCTCAGAATGAGAGAGAGAATGAGAGAGAGAGATGTCAAGAAGTTGGCTGATGACTTTTACTATAATTTGGCTGTGGAGGCTTTTTCTTCATTGGGTGAGGTGAGCACAACATATTTGCTTGCTGTTTACCACAGTAGAGACTGGGCCTCTGGGAACCAAACCTCCATCTGCACAGGGACCTGGAATTTCACTAGGACCACCATGATGATTTTTGCTATTTCAAGGACTAGGAGTTAGCTTTTATTTTCACAACTAGGTAATTATCACATCATTCAGCTCTACTCTCCAAGATATGTAGAATATCCCCAAATATAGTTGAGAGAGACAGGGTGATAGCCAAAATGTATAATTTTTTCCTTTTTAAATTTTTTAAAAATTATTCTTTATTAATTTTTTTTTTAATTTTAGTGAAAGAGGGCATGTGAGTCGGGGTTAGGGGCAGAGGAAAAGAGAGAAAATCTTAAGCAGGATCTATGCTCAGTGGGCAGCCCAACACAGGTCTGGATCCCATGATCCTGGAATCATGACCTGACTCAAAATTGAGAGTCTGATGCTCAACTCACTGAGCCACCCTGGCGCTCCATAGTCTCTTTCTCCCTTAATGCTGAACAGTGAATTTTCAACATGAATGGCGGGGGGGAAATATATGTGTGTACATATATGTAGATATGTTTATACATGTGTATACATATATAAACATATATGTATACACATATATATACATATACAAACATATGTATGGCACTAAGTAAGGCATTTATGAGCTGTTAGACATGAACTACTTTCCACCACCTTTGTCTTTTGGTTATATTTATGCCTCAGGGTCTTCGTTTATTGCAACGCATGATCCTGTTGTGTTAGGTACACTCAAGTTGTGTGATCATTTTTCCTTGAAAGGTTTTTCTCCTATTCTTCTTAACCACAAGATGCAGATGGTGAATTTGAGGATGTAGAGCTAAAAGCTTTGAGTTCCAATAACTGTCAGCTGGAAGGTATATTGTATGTTGGGGAGAAATCCCCATATGATGACAATGACTTTGCATTAGAAAGGGAAAGAATACCTTCATGCCTTCATGGTTCTTGCCCTTTTTCTGTCTCATCAAAATCAAGACTCAGGTCGTGTGTGCTTATAAAGAAACCTCCCCCCACCACCTATTTTTTAATTTTATACAGAAAATAAAAAGGACCTGGAAGACAAGTGTAATGCATTAAGATCTGTGAAAACAACAAAGGAAGCAAAAGTCAAACAGCTGAAGGAGAAAGCATATAACCTGGAAGAATCCTATGAACAAAGAAAAGTGGCTGCAGAAGAGTAAGATATTCATGTGATAACTGTCACGAGGACTGTTGTACGAATGGATGTGGCAGCTGGTAGAGATAATTATATTTCTTTAGCAATTGGGTCCAGAGTATTTTTGCCAAATACATTCAGTAGAATTGTGCCTGCCCTTCCTACCTTGCTTTCTGTAAAACCTGCATTTTCCTTTCTGTCCTAAGTGCTTGTCACACATCGTGTCATGTGTTTGGGGTGGAAGAGGGAAGATACCAGCATTAATAATATTGATACCTGGATCCACTCTGGATCCATCTACATTATCCTATAGGTTTCAATACCATCACATTGTTTTGTCATCTAGCAATGAGGTCATTCTTGTTCAGGACCAGACATGGGTCAAATATGTGTGGGGAAAAAACTGAATTATCTTCCTGCAGAAACAATAGAAATTTCTTTCTGGAAAGTGGGTATGGGCACCAGCAGCACTGGATCTCTGCATCCATTCTGCCAGTGAGATTGTTCACACAGGCCCAATCCTTAAGAAAGCTGAGTTGTTTCCAGTCCCTTGATTTTTAAGTGTAACTCCTCTGGGTCTTGATCAAAGCCTGCAGCTTCAATAGGGCTGATCTTTGCTGACTGACCCTGAACTGCATGTGTTCTTTCTAAGTCTGTGCCCATAAAGTTGTTCAGCTTCTTTGCAGTTCCAGTGTATGCCCCCAAAATCATTGATGAGTCCTAGGGAGATTGGGTCCAACTGCCATGCTGGTTTTGTCCTGGGATTTCTTCTTCTCCTTCTTGGTCTCATGTGTCTTCATGGGGTCATTAGAAATTTGTGCATTTCCTTATACGTTTCCTCCTTTGTGCAGCATTTCCTTTTGTTCTCAGGAGGAGATAGGGGACTTTAGAATCCCTCATTCATGATGGGAAATAAACTCTTCCTTCCCTTCCCTGGAGACTCAGCTTTATGTTAGGCCTTCCCACACCTAGGGTTAGAGCCTGCTCTGTTTCACTGGCATCTTGTTTTGTTAATTTGTAAGTTCTTTCTGGGAGTGGGTACAGCATCCTGACCATCTTCAGCCCCTTACAGCGGAGCCACTATATTACAACTACTCCAGAAAGCATTTGCTGAAGGACTGCCTGAGAGGCCCGGAAGAAATGCATGTGCTTTTCTCCTCTAGTGGTTTTGTCTCAGTTTCTAAGAGATTTTCAATTTTGCATGTGATTCTTGAGTACATCAAGTGTCAAGTTGAAACTCTTTAAATCAACACCATGAACAAAATAGTCTGAGGGCAATAGAGCAAACCAGCCTTTCTAAGCATTTCCGTTTGCTCTTTACTTTCAGTGAACTCAGTCTTGTTAAAGTAGATTGGCTCCATGATGTTGAGATTTTTCTATCTGAAATGTTTCCTGGAGATACACCCATACTGTGTGACAGTTTATATCAGGTTATACTTCAGGAGATGTTGCTGCTCTAAGGCCTTTCCCTCCACCAGGATATGTGAAGGTGGAGGCAGGGTTGCACTCCTGACCCCTAATGACGTCTGGGTGTGAGCTGCAACGTGGGTGAAACCGTATCTTGGAAGGTCGTCTTTCAGGGTGATTGTGTCAGGGTACAACTTTTGAACTGAATATCAGGGCTCCCCATGGAGATGTAAGACTAGTGATGATCCCCTGCTTCATCCTAATGGGTACAGTTGGTCAGACATGGTTTGTCACATTGCTGAAATGAGCCTTCACCATCTGAAACAAATGACCAACTCTGGGAAGGCACAAAGTGCAGTGTTATTTGATGACTTTATGATGGAGTAGAAGCAGATAACTAGAAAGACAGCTCTGACAGTGGAGACATGGCAGAAGACAGAGGCTGAATTTTCTTTAACTTAAATGGGGTGTTCACTTCATTTCCCTGATTGTGCTGTTAGTCTGTGCATTTATGGGAGAGGTGGGGGAAGGCATATTTGCATAGGCCTTTGCAAGTGCTGGGATGTAGAAAGGCAGAATTTCTGGACCTTGCTCCTGACTATGTATAAATCTTTCCCGTCTTAGGAAGCTGAAAATAACACACTGTGAACTAATGGCAAAGAAGAATCAGCTGGCACCTGCAGGTAAAATTTGAACATAGCTACTACGGAAGAAATAAACAAGTATAAGTGAGTTTAGCTACTAATTACCAGCAGCTCATGAAACCTCTGTTCATTTTTTGCTTTTAATCTTTTTACAATGTTTAGACTCAACATAGTAATATACACAAAAATTCAGAGGACATATGCATAGAGTATTAGCAGATAAAAAAGGTAAGTTTTAGAAAGAACAAAACGATTAAGTTTCTAAACATTTGCAGAATTCAAGCAATGGGCAGACTGTGTGGAAACTTCATCTATGCCAACGTTCCTAGGGGGTGGTGTCAACTGTCATAATTTATAGGAAAGCAGTGTGTAATAGGATGAATGATACCCATCAACATGATAGTGACATTTAGTGGTCCTGGTCTTTGCAACCCTGGGAAACATGGTGAGGATATAAGTTAAAGGAGAATAGAGTTTTATGTTCAAAGACACTTCTCACAATCTCAAGGATTGAAAAGGGGGAGGAGTTCTATGAACTCTGAACCCTGTGGGCATGGAATAATGAGTATTTAGGAAAGGATAGAATAGTAGCTTTGATCCTACTGTACCTTTATAATCATGTGAAAAGCGTTTCATGTGTAAGAATAATGGAAAAAAGACAGCCTTTTTAACAGATGGTGTTGGGAGAACTGGACAGCAACATGTAGAAGAATGAAACTAGATCATTTTCTCACACCATGCAAAAAATAAACTCAAAATGGATAAAGGACCTGAACGTGAGACAGGAAACTATCAACACCCTAGAGGAGAAAGCAGGAAACAAACTCCTTGACCTCCACCACAGCAACTTCTTACTAGACACATCCAAAAAAGCAAAGGAATCAAGAGCAAAAATAAACGATTGGGACCTCATCAACATTAAAAGCTTCTGCACAGCAAAGGAAACAACCCACAAAACTAATAGGCAACCAACGGAATGGGAAAAGATAGTTGCAAATGACATATCAGATAAAGGGTTAATACCCAAAATATATAAGGAACTCACCAAACTCCACATCCGAAAAACAAACAACCCAGTGAAGAAATGGGCAGAAGACATGAACAGACACTTCTCCAAAGAGGACATCCAGATGGCCAACAGACACATGAAACGATGCTCAGCATCCCTCCTCATCAGGGAAATACAAATCAAAACCACACTGAGATACCACCTCACGCCAGTCAGAGTGGCTAAAATGAGCAAATCAGAGAACTCTAGATGCTGGCGAGGATGTGGAGAAACAGGCACCCTCCTACACTGTCGGTGGGAATGCAAACTGGTACAGCCCCTCTGGAAAACAGTGTGGAGGTTCCTCAGGAAACTAACAGTAGCACTCCCCTAGGACCCAGCAATAGCACTGCTAGGAATTTACCCAAGGGATACAGAAATGCTGATGCATAGGAACACATGTACCCCAATGTTCATAGCAGCACTCTCCACAATAGCCAAAACATGGAAAGAGCCTAAGTGTCCATCAACGGACGAATAGATCAAGAATATGTGGTTTATCTGTATGATGGAATACTCCATGGCAATGAGAAAGAATGAAATCTGGCCATGTGTAGCAACATGGATGGACCTTGAGGGTGTTATGCTGAGCGAAATAAGTCAGGCAGAGAAGGACAAATGTCATATGTTTGCACGTATAGGAGGATTAGGAGGAACTTAACGGAGGACCATGGGGGAGAAGAAGGGGGGAAATGGTGGGGGAAAGGAAGAGAGGCAAACCATGAGAGACTATTGAATGCTGAGAAACAAACTAAGGACTGAGGGGGGGGGGGGGGGGGGGAGATGGGCATGGAGGAGGGCACTTGTGGGGATGAGCACTGGGTGTCATATGGAAACCAATTTGACAATAAACTATTTGTAAAAAAAAAATAATATATATATATATAAATAACTTTTTGCTTTCCAAAAAAAAGAATAAATTGTATCAGGGGACAGATATGAGGTTGATGGGAACATGGGCAGATTATATAAAGTCATACCCTATATTGAGCCTTATCTGATGAGAGCAGTTGTAACTCACAGGCAACAAATTGAACAAACATGAGAACAGCTGCAGCAGGCAGAGCTCCCCTTCAGACACTAGGTAACCTTAGTTCTGCCTGACATACTTAACCCTTAGCACCTCATGCGGGTGAGAGTAATGACCCTTAGAATCCCTGAGCATGGACTTTTCATTGTTGGCTTTCTCAGATCGCAGTTTGTGAGAAGAATGCTCAGGACAACTGGGTGTTTTCCTGTTTCCTTCTCTTTCTTTGGTGCACAGTGTGGCATGACTGAAGGTGGATGTGTTTTTCTCCCCCAGATCAAGACTTGGATCTTGAGAAGGGAGGTAGCCTACTTGAAATACAGGTGTGGTAATCTGACTTGCGTTTTTATGGATGTTTTGAGGGATGACGCCTGTGCTATTGTACGTGGTGTTGCAACTATTATAGAAGTCCATTCTTTTTCTGTATCCAAAATATAGACACACGAGGCAGAAACCAGTGCCTGGAAGACTAGAGATGCAGAACCTCCATGGAGAAGTAAGGAGCACCTGGTGACAAGCAGCAGCCTCATTTCTGCTGCACAGCCTGTTCCTGTGGGTGATAATCGTGTGGCCTGGAAAGAACCACAAGCACTAGGGACAGCAGGTGATCTGAAGGGGTGACAGGAGGGTGTTCTCCTCTGCTGCTCCAGGCAGCGGAGCACCTGTCCCTGTGACTGGTGGAGCTCATGCCCCTCCACTGACTACAGACCCTCCCACGTCCTCCAGCCTCCCCCGACCTGAAGAGATGCGCCTGGAGGGGATGACAGGACATGGGCCACATCTTCCTTCCCACCTTGACTCAATGTGAAGACTTTATTTTAGTTTATATGAGGAGGTCATTTACTATTTTTAACATTCTTTATTTTTGTTTTATTTTCTTGTGAACCGAAGCCCTCCCTTCATAAATTCAAGTTCCATATAGCTTAGTCCTCTGATGTTATCAGTGCAACTCTGCAGCTTCACTGCTAAATCCCCATAGTTTTCCTTTTCTAATTAGTGTAATGTTAGTCTAAATACATTTCTATTCAGAAATAGTTGTACAATAACTGTTCATATGTGGAAGGCAGTGAGTGTACAGATAAGCAGAAGAGCTGAGCACTCTACCTGGAGCCTGAGGAAACATACCCATCTTCAGGATTCATTGATATACACCAAGTCAGTATTCTGTTTTATTCTTTTTTTTTTAAGTTTATTTATTTTGAGAGAGAATGGAGAGAGAGGTGGGGAGAGAGAATCCCAACTAGGCTCCACACTGTCAGTGAGGAGCCCAATGCTGGGCTCGAACTCACAAGCCATCAGATCATGACCTGAGCCAAAATCAAGAGTTGGATGCTTAACCGACTGAGCCACACAAGTGTCCTCATATTTATTCTTTTTTTTTTAATGCTTTATTTATTTATTTTTGAGAGAGACAGCGTGAGCAGGGGAGGGTCAGAGAGAGAGGGAGACACAGAATCAGAAGCAGTCTCCAGGCTCTGAGCTAGCTGTCAGCACAGAGCCCGACGCGGGGCTCGAACCCACCAACCGCGAGATCATGACCCGAGCTGAAGTCGGACACTCAACCGACTGAGCCACCCAAGTGCCCATGTTTATTCTTAATATGTAATGAAATGGTGATTTCCCATGATGTAAACTAAAAAACCTCTGTTTTACTGATGAATTCTAAATTGCTAGTTGAGCCCNGAGGGTCAGAGAGAGAGGGAGACACAGAATCAGAAGCAGTCTCCAGGCTCTGAGCTAGCTGTCAGCACAGAGCCCGACGCGGGGCTCGAACCCACCAACCGCGAGATCATGACCCGAGCTGAAGTCGGACACTCAACCGACTGAGCCACCCAAGTGCCCATGTTTATTCTTAATATGTAATGAAATGGTGATTTCCCATGATGTAAACTAAAAAACCTCTGTTTTACTGATGAATTCTAAATTGCTAGTTGAGCCCAACCTGTCCACATTTATTTGATTCAGTATCAAAAACATGAACCAGGGCACCATGGGGTCCGCATTAAGGTGAGGGGATGATTCTCCCCCTTATCCATGGGGGTCACCTGAGGCATGTGGGATACCCTCTGCCTCTGGTCAGGGACCTGAGTATAGGGAAAAGTTGAAGGTCTGTGAAGAATGAGATGAGGGTTTGTTTTAATTTTGCACAGTCCACTAAAATCAGAATAAACCTCTATTCCTTCTAGGGCCTTTAGCAGATCCAGAAACTGGTGCGACCTCTGTGAGCACAGCAGCTCTGATTGTACCAAGAATGCAGACAAGGACAAGGTGAATGCTGTGGCCATGCTCAGTTGTAACTCTTTTGGGAAACACTCATCTTTCTGTACAGCACGCTCTCCTGGCCTTGTCTCCTGTTGTGTGTTGTGTGATATGTCTGCCTGTTATTTGTTTTCCAAGTGTACACGCTTACCCTAGAAGGCCACAGACTTCTCTGTTTTCAGCCTGTCATCTTTTTGTGGTAAGTTTAGAAGCCCAAAGTGCTTAGAGGCTGAGTACCTTAAGGCTTTTCCATGTGTTTCTAGAAATAACGAGAAGAGGATGACCCCACATTCCAAACAATTCTCCTGGGATGGGTGACCCCTTCCAGACCTCAACTCTGTGGGAACAGTGTAGCTGCTGTGTCTTCCTTTCTTGATTCTGGCTAGGAGATTACCGTTAGACAGTCTGCCATATTGGTTAAAATTCAAAAATGCAGAATGACATCATTATTCCAACTTTATATTTTGTGCCCTGTGCAATTTAGAGTAGTCAGATAAAGTCAATGTCATCACTCCTCACCTTCCTGTCTTGGTTGGTAACTGAGTTGTCTGGAATCCTTCTAGCTATACCTTAGGTAAAAATAGTTTGGACACTGTGTCCTTCAATTGTGTTTATAGGAGCTGTTTCTGGTTGTGTCCCCAGTCACTGTTAGAGCTGATACAGTCCCATGACACATCCCAGGAGTTTTATACCAGAAAGCAAAACATTTGCATTAAACCTATTATGTGAATTTCTACCTCTTTTTTCTGTTGGACATAATTTGTCCTGTAGTATGCTTAAAATCAGAATTCCCCATGAATTAAGATGAACACACCTGAGCTTTGTAGACATTCACAAGTAACTTATTCCTCACAGCTTTCTCCTGCAAGAAGATTCCAGGCATCCTCCACTCCCCAGAGGTCTCCAAGGCCTTTGGCAGCACCTCAAGAGGGAAGACTCCTTTCTCAGGGAGAGGAGCAGAGGAGTCAAAGTGAGGGGCTGATTGCAAACCTTTTCCCCAGGAGTGGCTGTGATTCCAGGAGCAGAATAGGAGTCATTTGTTCGCACTCATTTTTTTTTTTTTTTTTTTTTTTTTACAAATAGTTTATTGTCAAATTAGTTTCCACATAACACTCAGTGCTCACCCCCACAAGTGTCCTCCTCCATGCCCATCCCCCCCTCCCCCCCACATCCATCAGTCCTCAGTTTTTGTCAGCATTCAAGAGTCTCTCATGGTTTGCTTCTCTCCCTTTCCCCCACCATTTCCCCCCTTCTTCTCCCCCTTGTTCCTCCGTCAAGTTCCTCCTAATCCTCCTATACGTGCAAACATATGATATTTGTCCTTCTCTGCCTGACTTATTTCGCTCAGCATAACACCCTCAAGGCCCATNATCTTCTTGATCCATTCATCTGTTGATGGACACTTAGGCTCTTTCCATGTTTTAGCTATTGTGGAGAGTGCTGCTATAAACATTGGGGTACATGTGCTCCTATGCATCAGCATTTCTGTATCCCTTGGGTAAATTCCTAGCAGTCGCACTCATCTTTTTGCGTGTTTTTAATATACCAAACACAGAGCATCTGGAGTCACTGTCAAGGAGGGATGCAGGGTGAACCTGGACATGGATGTCTACCTGTCTGGAGAATGCTACTTCATTAGTCTGTAATTACCTCTAGGTCAGGACCCTTGCCATTTGACTTTCGCAGACGTGGGCAGTGATGTGTGGTGACAGTAGTTTCACCTCTTTGATCTACTACCCCAAGCTGTAGGTGGTACCCAGTGGCAAGGACAGAGTTTTCAGGTACTGGTGCTACTCTCTTGGATCCTGGTGGCAGAGAAGGTGGCAGGTGCTGACACATTTTTCTTTTGGTTTCAGCTGCTTTTGGTGTTGGTATTATCTGGCAGATGCACATAGTTGTCACTTCTGCAGGGCAGTGTGGATCTATGGGGACCTCCTCCACTAACTGGAAGATTTGTCTTCCATGTTCCATGCATGCCCCACCTGCAACACTTGGTAAGATGTTGGTAAGAGCAGTAGGAATTGATTTCCAAAGCATCCTCATCTTATTTTTGTTGGTGTTGGGTTTGGGTTGGCCAGAGTGTAGTGGTGGTACCACACACCGTTGCTATGCAGAGGAAATGTGTCTGCTGCCATTTCCACATTCCTCAAGTTTCTCATGATTGACATATCATTTCTGTCATGTGTTGGTACAGGTGTCTCTTGTGGAGAAGAAATAGGGCTGTGTGCAGGAAAGCAGACATAGTGGTTCAGTGGAAATGTCCTGTACATCGTCCACGTGCTGAGCCCTGTGAGGCATGAGGCACAGCCTAATGTATATCCATCTAGTCGTGCCCCCAGCCATCCATAGTTGTTTGATGAGATGTGTTAATGCATGTGAATCAGGGCTTTTAGGAGTCTTCATCATTATAAGGAATGGTTCTTCAAGCTCTGCCTAGGGATCACCAAGGCATGTGGGATACCCTCTGCATGTGACTTGATATCTGACTAGGGCAAAGAGGTTAAGTTGTCTGAGGAATGAGGGGAGGGTTTTTTAATCTCCAAACAGTCTACTCAAATCAGAATAAATCTCCATCCCTTCTAGGACCTTTAGCAGATCCAGAAGCAGGTGTCACTCCTGAGAGTGCCACGAATACTGACTACTGAAACTGCTGAGAAGCACAAGGTAAATGCTGCAGCCATTTTCAGTTGTAAGTCTTTCTGGACACCCACATGTTTCTGTACAGCACACTCTCCCGCCATTGTCTCTGGTTTGTGTGTCGTATGATATATCTGCTGGGTTTGTGTTTTTGTTTTCCAAATGCACACAACCGTTACCCCCGAGTCTACAGGCTTCCTTGTTTTCTACCTGGCATCTCTTTGTAGTAAGTTTAGAAGCTAACTGTGCTTAGGGGTGAGGACCTTAGGGTCTTCCCACTGTGTTCCTAGAATGAATCAAGGAGGATGATACCACACTCCACTTGGAAGTCTCCTGGCTTGCCTTATTCTTTCTGGACCTCCTCCATGTCGAATCATTGCTCTTGCTGTTTCTTCCTTTCCTGTTTCTGTCAAAAGTTTTAATGTGTTCAGAAAAATCTGTGGATCTCCTTACAACTTGAAAATGCGAGCTGCCTTCACTCCAACTTATATTTTTGTATGTGTCATTTAGAGTGGTCTTAGACAAAGTAAATTTCATACCCATCAACATTCAATCTTTTTTTGGTAAACGTGCTGTCTAGAGTCCCTTCAGGTGTGCCCTGGGTATAAATACCTGAACTCCAAGAGGTGACATATTTGTTGTAGAAAACATGCACCGAAACTTAAGTTGTGAAGAGAAAAAAAAAATCAAAAATTACCTGTGTGGCAAGTCCCCACTGTGTCCTTTTCTTGTGTTCACTTGATCAGGTTCTGTTGTGTCCTTTGTCCTGGGTACAACTAAAACTCAGAAATTTACACCAGAAATCAAAGTGCATTTGTGTTAATTTTGTTATTTAGAATGTTAGCTCTTTTTTCCAGAGGACACAATTACCCTGTCAATTGTACTGTACTTAAGCCGAGAAGTACCTCTGCATTAAAATCAATTAACTGAATCCAACTAACATGTATAGGTTACCTGTTTCTCTAAGAGCACGCTTTAACTGGTCCTCTGCTGGACCTAAGGATCCCCATTGCCCCATATGTCTCTGTGCCCATGGATAGCACTTCCAGAGAGGAGAAGACCCCATTGTTGGGAAAGAAGCACATCAGGCAGAGGTGGGGTCTTAGAGGCAGAGCTTTGAGCCACGAGGGCTATGATTCCATGTGTGGAGACTGGGATTTCCATTGCTTCTCATTCTGTACTTCTTCATATACAAGTAAGCAGCCTCTGTGGGGGAGGGGGAGGAGAGGAGGAGGGTGATCCTGGACTTAGATGCCTTCCTATCAGGAATATGCTCCTTTGTTAATTTGGTATTAAGTCCATAAATCTTCTAGGAAAAGAACCCTTGCTGTTCTACATTTCCAGATATGTGGGGACACTAGTTTATCCCAATAATATCCATTTGCCACCCCAAAGCTGTAAGTGGAGCCCAAAGTATGGGTAGAGATTTTGGTGCTGATGCTGTCCTCTTGGAACCTGGTGGTGGGGAAGCTGGCAGGAGATGAGCACTGCTTCTTTGGGTTTCTGCCTTTTTGCAGGTGTCAGTCCTTTGTTCTGTCCTATGACCACAGCATTCATTTCTGTTCCACAGACCGCTAAGTATGCAAGAGGTCCTGGTCCTGTCCTTGCAGGCCCTGCCCCTGTGGATCAGTCTTCATTGCCAATCATGTGCTGTGGGCCCCTCTTCCTCCTCCTCCATCTACTCTATTTGTTAAGATGACCTGAACTGGATGAGTGGTAAAGCATATTCGCCTTCTTTGTGAAAGACTGGGTGGGAATGATGTAGAGACGGTTGTGAGTCTTGGCACTTCAAGTGACAACCTGCCTGAGGACACTGAACATACCTTAAGTTTCTCAGGACGTACATACAAGGGGCGGTGTCATTTCCCTGTATTAAGGTGAGCTATAGGTTTCTCTGCTCAAAATTAAAGAGGAAATTTTACACAAAAGCAGACGTATCAGCAGTACTGGTGGGTATTTTGGAGACACAGTATTTTGGGTTCTATAAAGGATGTGGTGCACCCCTAACTTTTAGTGCCTCAGGTGTCCTGTGTGACATGAAGGATACATGCATTAAATGACACAGACCTTGTGATCACCATAATGGAAGCACCAGTGAAGGAATTGGGGAAACTTGAATCACTCAGGAATAGAAGGGACGTTGTGGACAGTAAGCAGAGTTTGAGGAGGTGCAGAGGGAAGGAGGTTGGGGTCAGTGAAATGCAGTTGGAGGTCATTCCTAGGCAGAGCCTGAGCAGGAATGGTGAGGTCCACACAGAGCTGCTATGTGGGATCACTCTCAGTGCACAATGCAGTGTTCATCTCTGAAATGTCAGTGTTGCTAAAGTGTACCTAAGTAATCATCTAAAAAGATTGTTGTCTCCCTGGGTTTTCTGAAGGTTTTGGATATTTGTGGGGAAAAAATGCCCTCGAGATACGGGAAATGCCTGTCTGCCCAAGTTCATATCCCTCAGTGAGACAGGATCTAGATCAGCTGAGTGCCTGCATTGGCCTTTAGCCTAGGTCAACCTATAATTCAGGGTTGGCCAGGAGCCACCCCTGCTGGACCCCTGTCATCACCCTGACTACAGCTTTCCATGTCCTCAAACTTCTCTCACAATATCCCGAGGCTTTGCTTGTGTTCCTGCTGTCTCAGTCCTAATACCACTTCTCAATGGGACCTACTTAGAGCCTCAGCGGTGTCTTCTGTGAAATAGGGGTAATATTTGTTTCTAAAAACATTAATATGAAAAGAAGACATTAAATACATAAAGCATCTGCAAAATGTCTGGGAAGTGTCCGCTCACCCATCTCACAGGTTCAATTAAGATGTCTCCATACAGGGATCATCAAAAAAAGATATCCAAGGGAATTCATTAAATGAAGACTGTTAACACCTCAGCCCAGGGATTGGGAATTGCTGTTTTAAACGATAAGACAAAGACCCTCATTAAAATTCTAGCCCTACCAGACAAAGAAAGAAAAGATAATTATGAGAATGTGTATATTCAGAGATCTACATCTGAGAGCTGAAGACAATCATTTTCCTCATTACATGTAGCCACACACAAAAGTGTTCATCTGAGGCCACAGATAAAGTACAGAAGACAGAGTGCATGTAGGAAAACATAAGATCACAGGGAAATAAACCAAAATCTCAATAAATGTAAATCTCACTGATTTTGAAATTTGAAGAGGACTGTTCAAGGTGACAGACTATGGTGATTATATATTTAAAAAAGGTGTCAGATCTGCCTGAATGCTTTCCCTGCCCATCCTGTCCCCTCCACTTTGTCCTTCCTATGTCCCCTAATACACCCTTCACTGCTCTGTCTCTGTGTCAGCATCTGTTTCTAGGAGGACCTAGTCTCCTCACTCCCCATCGCTGCACACAGTGTGGTTCCTGTACACACAGGGAACAAACAAGCAGAAAGGGTGGTGATGGAGGATAGTAGCAAGATCACCCTTTGTGCAGGGGAGTCTGAGGGAGTTTTACAAGGTGGTGGGAATTTCCTATATCTAGATTTATGGGGTGTTTGTACTCATTTCTTATAAACATATTCACTGACCCCCTGGTACCTCGTGGTCAGATAGACAGGTGTCTGTCCCTAGCATATGGCTGACTTCTAATGGTGGGTAAGGATGAGGAACCAGCAGTGACAGGGAGATGAGTGAGGAGGCCACACATGGAGTCAGACCCTCACCCAGGATGCCAGCTCTCCCCACACAGTACCATGTGCAGGAGAGCTCTGAGGGCTCTGAGATTTCTTGATCAGTCTTGTGAACTCCACAATCCTCCTCCAGATTCCTCACTGAGGGATGGCCAGGGCACAGGCCAGCAGCTGGAGGACACCCTGATCAAGGTTGGAGTGGAGTAGTGGGCCTGGGGGATTGAGTCAGAGAAAGGGACAGGCAGAAGGTAGCGACAGGGAGTTTGAGAGACAAAGGGAAGAGAAGAGAAGGGACCTTTCTCTACTGACTTCACCTACATTTCTGTGTGAACAAAAGGGGATTCTTGTCTCCAAGGGTGGGGAGAGGGCTGGCAATAAAGACAGAGTGACATTCTCAGCTCAGGTGCCCAGGATATCTGCCTTGCTCTTGAATACCTAACACAGAAAGCCTGTGCTTTCTGTCATAATAGGAACTGCAGCCCATGCCATTTAATGATAATCAATCCAGTTACGAAGCCCTCATCGTTAAAGTAGTGCAACAAAATTATGTGAACAGTGATACAATAGAGGATAAAGTCCAAAGGTAGACCAAATGCAATACTCACAGGAATATAGACTATCAGAAAATGAGGTGCCCCAATGCAGGCATTCAGACACCTGGGCAATATCTGAAAATGTTAAAAAAAAAAAAAAAAAAAAAAAGTCCTTACCTCAAAAGAAACATTAATGTTAGACAAAAGGGATCATGATTTAAGGTTTAGAGAGAAACTGTATGACTTCATGGCACTACACCCATGAGACCAAATATCATCAAATTATACCCTTTAATTTGAGGCTATTTGTTATATGTAAATTATACCTCATTAAAGACAGTTTCAAAACATGAAATACTAGAAGAAAATGTGGGAAAATTCCTTTCTAATCTTGAAGAGCATGGGTGATAGGAGTCTGTCCGAACAGGTCTCAAAAATCCAAAAAATTATGACATTTAAAAAAGTAATAATAGCAGAGTAGGAGGACCCTGAGCTCACTCTGTCCCATGTTCTCAACTCCGTAACATCCACATCTAAGTCCGTAAACCAGAGAGCGATCCAAAGACTGGCAGAACACATCACAACTCAACAGAGAGAAGCTGCACCTGAAAAGTTAAGAAAGTCAGAAAGGCGGAGGGTGGCTGCTACATAGAGGGCAGAGAAAGTGAGCCCTGACCCCATGGAGCTCACACGGGGAAGACTAATCCCCATAACATCTGACTTTAAAAACCAAAGGGGTTGAATTCCTTGAGTTTGGAGGTCAGCTAACTCCGCACTGGGTGATCCAGGAGGGTGAGTGATATAGCCAGGTCCCTGCCAGTGTGGAGAGGCAATGTAAACAATGGCAGTTTACACAATGCTGGAGGCAACAGGAGACAGATACGTTCATGCTGATTTCTGAGTGGTTGGGTGACTTCTCCAACAACGAGGGAGCTCACAGTCACCATTCTTCTCCCCCACCACCCCCAGAATAAGCACAGGAGCACCTATTAGGGGGTTGGGCTGCACCGACCCTTGCTACCTAATCCACTAGCAGTGTGCCAGTTCCAAGAGTTCTCTGGGGGGCTCACCCACTCCAAGCCTGCTGGCCTCAGCACTGGGCTCAGGGCAAACTTTGTTATAACCACATGGGCACCCTGTCCAGCCTGCTGCATGCAAAGCCTCCATAGCACGTTGTGCTCATCTGCACCACACCTAGCTGTGCACGCCTTGCCACCCTCCTATGTCTCACCCAGCCACATGCCCCCAGCCACTCATGCACTCTGTGCATAGCCTCGAGCCCCTGGATGCCCTGGTGCAGAGCCACCAGCCATCAAAGGACAACTACAGATTTGTCAACAGAATCTTGGCAAGGCAAAGTGCTGAATAGAAAAATCAGCAGCCAAGAATACTCTATCCAGCAAAGCTACATTCAGAATAGAAGGAGACATAGAGTTTCCCAAACAAAATCTAAAGGAGTTTGTACCAGTGAATCAGTCCAGCAAGAAATATTAAGAGGGACTCTTTGAGTGGAAAAGAGAGACCAAAAGTGCCAATAGAGAGGTAGAAAACACACATCCAGTGAAAATGAATATTTCTATAAAAAATCAGCCAAGGAACTCACAAAAATGGATATAAAATATAATAACATGTACCAAAACATAGGAAGGAGAAAATAATGGGCTTAAAAGTAAATGGCCATCAACTTAATACAAACTTCTAAATGCAAAGAAATTATATAAAAACCTAATGGCAACCATATATCAAGAATCACTCACAAATATGCAAAGAATAAGGAGACAGAAATAAAAATATATCACTAAAGAAAATCAGCAAAACATGCCACAACAAAACAGGTAATAAAATGACAATACATACATACACATCAATAATTACTTTGAAGGTAAATGTAATGAATGCTCTGATTAAAAGATATAGGTTGTAAACATGGATGAAAAAACAAAACAGACTGACATGCTGCCTACAAGTGACCCATTTTAGATCTTAAGACACCTACAGAATGAAAGTGAGGGGATGGAGAAGCATCACACAAATGAATGTCAAAAGAAAGCTGGGGTAGCAATGCCTGTATCAGAGAAAATAGACTTTAAAACAAAGAATGTAACAAGAGACAAAGGACGACACTATATAACACTAAAGGGTACAATCTAAAAAGAAGATACAACAACTGTAAATAGAAATGAACCCCATATACCAAAAAGTTAATACATAAAAGTTAACAACATAAAGGAACTAATGGGTAATAAGACTTTCACACCCCATTTACATCAATGGACACATCATCTAAACAGAATATCAACAAGGAAATTATGTCTTTGAATGACAGAGTGGAACAGATAGATTTGATAGATATGTTCAGGACATTCCAGTGTAACACAGGAGAATATACATTCTTTCCAGTGCACGAGGAAAGTTGTCCAAAATAGATCATGTATTAGCCAGAACAAACCATAACAAATTCAAGTAGACTGAAATCACACCGTGAATATTTCCAGACCACTTCTATGAAACTAGAAGTCAACCACAAGAAAAAATCTGGAAAGACCACCGGGAGGTTAAATAACACACTACGAAACAATGAATGGGTCAACGAGGAAATCAAAGAGGAAATTTTAAAAATACATGGAAACCAATGAAAATGAAAAAGCAATGGTCCAAAAACATTTGGAATGTAGGAAAGTGGTTCTAAGAGGAAAAGTCAGAGCAATACAGGCCTACACCAAGAAGGGAAAAACTTCTCAACTAAAGAACTGAACCCTTCTCAAAACTAGAACAAACTATCCAAAAATTTGTATGGAACCACAAAAGACCCCGAATAGCCAAATATTGAAGAAGAAAACCAAAATGGGAAGCATCACCATCCCAGACTTTAGCCTCTACTACAAAGCTGTCATCATCAAGACAGTATGGTATTGGCACAAAAACAGACACACAGACCAATGGAATAGAAGAGAGAACTCAGTTTTGGACCCACAAATGTACAGCCAACTAATCTTTGACAAAGCAGGAAAGAGTATCCAAT